TTGCGACCTTCTGACAAGCAAATCCCATGGGCAGGGGTAGGCCACCTTGGCTCTTTTGTGACTCGTGGACTTCGACTCCCAGAATTCCTGAGCCAGCATGGGGGAAACTATGGCCCCCTCATGACTGGTGTACTTCGACTCCCAGAATTCCTGAGCCAGCATGGCTCAGCTTGGAAACCTCTCCCTTTCCCCTCAGCATGGCTGGCTCAGGAATTCTGGGAGTTGGAGTCCAGGAGTCATAAAAGACTCAAGGTGGCCTACCCCTGCCCATGGGGGAAGCCCAATTTGCTTAACAAATCGTGTTAACGACTGTAGGGATTCGCTGAACGACGGTGACCAGAAATGTTGTAACGTGGGGCGAAACTCACTTCACAGCTGTCTTGCTTAGCGACGGAAATTTTGAGCTCAGTTGTGCTCGTAAGTCGAGTACTTGAGTTATGGCCGTTCGGTCAGCGACCAAAATGACAACAAGGACGCTGAAAAAAAAAGAGGGACTTGCGACCGATCTTCAAAGCTCCAGAAGATTTTCAGGTACAGGCAGTCCTTGACTTACGACTATAGCTGAGCCCGACATTTCTGTCGCTAAGCGAAACATTCTTTGTGGCCCGATTTTTCGGCCTCCCTTGCCACCGCCGTTAAGGGAATCTGTCACCTCTGCAACCGGCCTGAATCGCCTGCAGTTAAGTTACCGACGTGGTCGTTAAACAAATCTGGCGTCCCCCATTGACTTTGCTTGTTCAGGTCGCAAAAGGGGATCGCATGACCTTTGGACACAGCGACGGTCATAAACAGGGACCAGTTGGCAAGCATCATGAATTTTGATCACGTTCTGCAAAGGTGGCAACTGTGAAAAACGGCCGTAATCCTTATTTCTCGGTGCCGCTTTAACCTTGGAACGGTCACTAAACGAACGGTTTTAAGTTGAGGACTTACCTGTATGTGGTTTCAGTAATTAAGGAAAACTGGGGATCAGTGGAAGCCTTCAACACATCTGTGAGCTGGTTGTCCCCAAAATAAGAGAGGCCAGAAGCCTCTGAATTGTGGAACAACCTGCCTCCAGAAGGGGGTCGGACTAGATGACCTCCGAGGTCCCTTCCATCTCTCTCGTTCTGGTAATTAATCAGAGGAATGACATGAAGTTGTGGGCGCTCCATCACTGGAGGTTTTTAAGAAGAGACTGGACGACCATTGGTCTGAAATGGGATAAGGTCTCCTGCCTGAGCAGGGGGCTGGACTAGATGACCTCCAATGTCCCTTTCAGCTCTGTTCTCCTCCTCCTCCTCCTCCTTTTAAAGAAGAGATTGGACAATCATTTGTCTGAAACGGCACAGGGTCTGCTGCCCGAGCAGGGGGATA